GTTGCTGCTTTGCCCTTTAGAATCTATACAGAGAGAGGGAGGGAGGGGGAGGATGTTAAATGCAAAAAATAGAACACTCCTGAATCATTAAGATCTTACTGTTTTTGAACTAGTTGTGTACCTTTTTCTCAAAGAGTTTCCTCACATAAGGCTTCCAGAAATGCTCTTTGATGCCCTTGGCTTCCAATACTAAGCCGTCATGTAAGGAGCAGAGTTTTTCAATGATGCAGGGTGGCTCAGACAACACCTTATAATCCTTACCATGAATGTCTTCAGGTAACCCTGGATTGGGGGGGGGGGGAGAGAACAGAAAGTAAATATATTTCCACATTTCTAAAACTAATATGAAAGCACATGCAGTAAACATTTATTAAAATACACACACACATTTGGGCTTCTTATTTTCCCAGTTCATAAAATATAGGATATATATTTCTTATACTTGCAGGCAGGTTTATTAACTTAAAAGAGCCAATCAGCTCAGCCTCACTACACACACACACACACACACACACACACACTTACTTCCCTTACCTTTAAAGTTAAAATTCAGAAGCTCCTTACGGTTTGGGCACTGCAAAGCATTTCCATAGACTAGATCCAGGACACACAACAAAAGATGGTAGGAATTGACTAAGTCATCACTGATCATGGGGAAATTGCCTGTGGAAATTGCAATTAAGGCTCCCATTACATTTGAATTAGACAATGGACTCTTGAGAAGCAACACACTTAACATGTACACAAACTATACAACCATGTAATTATATTTTTAACCAGTCATTCCTCAAAAGAGCTCAGTGTGACATTTCCATCATCACAGAGCCACCCTATAAAATAAGCTAGATAGAAAGACAGTGACCAGCCCGGGTCACCCATGGGAGAGAGAAATTAAACCCAGGCTTCCCCAAACCCAGACCAACACTCTGACCACTACACGTATCATATATGGTAAACAATATAAAATGTTATCTGCTTATAAAAATAACTAAAACCCAACATATGAATACCTATGTGCAATGTGGAATATTGCTTACATTTCTGAAAATCGATTCCAAGGCTAGTGTCAAAATTATTAATAACTTTAGGTATATAATAATGTTAGGCATTCAGTCACTTGGAAAGTAAAACTAAGCAGGTCTACTCAGAGTCCTGCTCAGAATTCCAAGGCTAAGCAGGTCTACTCAGAGTCCTGCTCAGGTCTATGCAATGGGGTTTACTCTCAAGAAAGCATTCTCAGAATCACACTGCTAATGCCTCTGGCACCTAGTAGGTAACCCAGCATGTGCTGACTTCAGAACTGCAATTTCTTTCACGGAGTAGTAGTGCAGAACTATAAACTTAAAACATATATAATAATATGAAAAGAGTCATTTTCATTCAGATAAGAACAATACTGTCAAGACAGAAGGTAATTATCAACTGCAGGCATTTCCAAGCACGGTCTGAACAGTCTTTCTCCTAACTAACTTGCTATTTTCCTTCAGAAAAATTAAACGGTAGGGGAAAATATTATTGCAAGCGTCTAATGACTGGAGGAATCATTCCAACCAGTGACAAGCGACAGCTCACACTGATTATTTAAACTCCGAGAAACAGAATTAAAAAAATAATAACTAAGCCATGTTGCTTTCAAATATGTTAGCACTAGTCTTACCACGCACATTAGGCAGCAAGCTAATTCATCTGTACCAAAAGGAAACAAACAGAAAAAGCTGCAGGTCTTTCTGCACAGAGAAAGGAAGTGGTCAACACTGATCTTGAAGCTGGGAAACCTATCATACAGACAAGCCCCAGCTTGTCCCTGAAATGTGGTTGCCATGATAAAGGCAGCAGAAACCTTCAAAAACACAGTAAACAACTTAACTACTTCCACTGACTGTCAAAAGTAAATGAAGTCTGCATTCATCAAATTCTGGGTTTCAGCGTTCACAAGCCGACTGAGACAACTCTTCCCTTTTGAAACCCCTGTGTACTTCCTGCAATGTGTCACTCAAGAACAGCAAGATTTTCTTACTGTTGAACACATCAGCTAAAATTAAGCAGTTTCTTAAATGCTGCGTAAATGGAAAGTTAACGGACAAGTCTTAAACAAAAAGTCCTGTTAATGATTTTGGTAACAAGTCTTAAATAAACAAAAAGTCCTGTTAATGATTTTGGCAAGATTTGGGAAAAATGTCCTTGAAGCAATAACATGCAATTGCTTGTCCAGTCCCATGTCCATATACCAAATACTAAACACCTGACCCATTTTCCTCAGCCCTTTAAACCTAGCCCCATCAGTCTAACTTCATTAATCCAAACCAGTAAGTCTCTTCTGATCCAGCAGGTGTTAATTTATAATTCACTACCCTTCCACAAGTATACAACACCATCGTCCAATTCCCTCAAGCTACAAGTAAGAATAAAAGGTTAAAAAAACCCCAGCAAGTTGATGGCGCAATAAACTGTGGCAGCTCCAATTGTATCTTTATAAACTTTAACAACAGATTGGGCAGTGGCCAAAGAACTCTGGAAGACTGGCACACTGAGAACTTTAAAAGATCTAGTTAGAGATAGAATTTTTTAAACCTGTAATGAAATACCAGAATAAATAATGGATGAACACTTCATTTTCAATGTTTTGAGCAAAGCATAGTGTTTAATGCCTTCTAAGGAAATATTGCACACTTAGGCAAAAATACAGTGGGGATTAATTATGAGTTTTATTGTTATGAAAGGGCATATTACATAACACTTCATTTGCAATGTTTTAAGCAAAGCATAGTGTTTAATGCCTTCTAAGGAAATATTGCACACTTAGGCAAAAATACAGTGGGGATTAATTATGAGTTTTATTGTTATGAAAGGGCATATTACATTATTTTACTTAACACTGTTAGAATTGGGTCATTCACTTCCTATATTCAGGGGGAAATGGGGAAAGGATTTTGGTCAGAAAATATTCTGACTGGAAATAGATATGGAACAATGCTCCTTCTAGATTAATCTCAGAAGACAAAATAAATGCTTTTAAAGATTCAAAATCAGTAATATTTAATGCTACAGAGATCATATTTAACACAAAAAACAGATAGCGGTAAGTGTTGCATGGTAATAGAGCCGATCTTTAAAAATATCTTTTCTACGCATCCTAAAATCCAAGCTTTGGGGACTGAGGTCATGGATCTGAAATTACAAGCTATACATTGTCAATAAATACTATGCTACCTGAAAGAGGATAGAAGATATCATTATGGTATGCTCCTACCCTTACTTATCTCAGAAGTTTTTATAGTTAAGAAACAAAATTTTAGGCAAAATATCAATTCTCACCTTTTGCATAAACAAACAGCACCCAGCAAAACTGAAAAACCTCAGAGACTGTGCAAGGCTGTCTCCTTTTTAGAAATGAAACCATAAAAAAGAAAGGTTATTACATTTTGAAACTACACAGTAAGGTGCTCCCAAAATATACCCCCACTGCTGGTTCATGGGAAACGAAATGCAACACACCCAGGTTTGTTCCATGGAAGCAACACACAACAGTTATTCTCTCCGTCTCGCTTGAACACACAGAGGCCTTCAGATGAGACGGGAGACTGAGCCACACATGTTGTTTTGACAGTTCTGTAGTAAATGGGCGGGGCTATGGTGTGGAGGTCATCCCTTGTTTTCAGGGTCAAGCTTGGACAGAACACTTGGAACAGGCAAATGTGACTGGGAGTGGTGGTGGGAGTGGGAGAGGACCCAGTACAAGAGTGGAAATCCTTCTAACCAGGCTCAAGCGTTCAAAATTCTGAAAACACTTCACCAATGAGTTACACAGAAATCAGCAGAGTGTTTACTTCCAAATAACCGTATTTAGAATACAGATTACAGTTACCACTGGATGGCAAAGTTAAGTCTTTAGTTATCGTAATAAACCCACACCTTTGCTTTCTTCCTCTCTGCTGGCGTGGTTGGTCTTCTTGAGGGTGCTTGAAGATATCCTGAAAAATGGGTTCATACTTCTTAAAAATTACAGCAGAAACTGTAAAGTTCCTTTCTAATCTTGCAGTACGTTCTCTGAACTGAGAGGGTAGATTTGCCATATCTTCCCATTTCTTCATCTTGTTAAAAAACTCTATCAAACTGAAGATAGTTAAAAGATCAGCCTTATGGAAATGACAAACCGAACACATTTTAGAAACACAACCTTCCTGAAAACGGATTGTGATTTATGTAAGATAGCCGTAGCTACCACAGGGGAGACACATGTTTTCAAAACTGTATTAGTCTCGGAAAAACAAAAGAAAGCTGGTTTAAGGAGCTCTGCCAATACATTAATTTCTTGTTATCCCTAGGGCTGCTAAGCCGCGGCGGGGGATCCGTGCGTCTTCACAGGATCCCTGCCGCGGGGGACAGCAATACGCATTGCACCGCTGTTGCCAGGCTGTGACGCTACGTGTCGCTCTGGCAACGGGGCTGTTTGGAGTCCCGTTGCCAGAGCGACGTGTAGTGTCACATCCTGGCGACGGCGGTGCAACGCATATCGCTATCCCCCGCGGCAGGGATCCTGTGAAGACGCACAGACGCAGCCCTAGTTATCCCTCCCCTCAACATATGTGCTGTATTTCTGCTTCCAGTACCACTGTACTCTCTCATGGTATTGTGTATATATGTTCTGGTCTTGTTGGTACAGGACTTCTATGTTGGCCAATCCTATGAATGGCTATAGCATGAAGATGAAGCAGTTTGTAATGTGATAACCATTTTAGATAACTCTGACAGCAAATTAAAATAAAAAACCCTAACAATGTATCAGTAAGTCAGCCTATTTTACTTATTAGTCATTCAAGTTTTTCTAACATTTTTTTTTACCTTAAGCAAGTCTCAGTTTGTACAGAAGCTGGACTTGATAGCTTATTCATTTTAATCATAATAAAATCTCCCATTAAGATAAGCATAACCCCCCCAAAACATTTGTGCATTGCTGGTTGACATACTGCACCTAACTAAGTTTTAAACATTCATTGACAGCAAATAAAAACATGTGGTAGTTTTAACGGGTTAATACCAACAGGTTCCAAGAATGAAATCTTCAACTTGAATCTCACTAGTTTTTAGTTTACCATTCAATTCCAGTAAATCCCACTGTTAGGACAGTAAGCAAAAGCCATAATAATGGCTCTAATAGTTAGAAGATGACTGAATATGTGTAATAAACATCAGAACTCAGATCTAAATGGTTCCAGGACATGATGCAACAACCTTGAAGCCAAGCACATCCGAGTCCATTAGCACCTGGATGCAAGACCTCCTGAGAACCCAACATACATCACCTTCACTCCCACAATGGAAAGGAAGGATATGGATGTAATGAATAATAATCATAATCTCTCATATGTATCAGAAGGGTTTCTGCAGCACATGCAGTAATCTAAAACTTTTATTTATTAAGAAACTGACAAATTACCTTTGCCCTGAGCAACGCAATATTCTGATTAAGGATACGTAGTTTCCTTCAACAGTTCCTCTGCTAACAGTCGGGACAGCTTTTCTGCAAGCCACATATAAGGAGCATGCTAGCCAATGTAGACTGTCTCCCTGTCATATTAAAAAAAAGTATTCAATAATTTCTTAAAACACATGCCCACAGGAGTTTCTTGCAGCACAGCCAGGACAAGTGGTTAAGAGCTCTGTGATCCAAAGAGCTGCATCAGGCATGTGTAGCGACATACTCGACTGGTCTCCTGAGAACACCAGGCACCCATGCCACATTGAAATTTGTTTTTTAAAGTTTCAAACGCTATTTGTCATTTGAGAAATACAAGATGGAAACCCCCTTAGAGGCACGGAACAGCTTGTACAGTTCACTAGATCCCAGCCTGTAACACTCCGGGAAGGACCTGCCAAGCAAACATTATGCAATGACAAGCTGACAAATTGTGTTTAATGGTACAACATGAGACCAGCAGAGACCAGAAAATGGTTCACAAGACTAAATGCCAGCAGAGACCAGAAAATGGTTCACAAGGGCATAGATGATAGAAAATACACAGCCACCTTTTAAACATGAAAAAGGAAACTGGATTAGAAGTTTGCCTGTACACAAAGGCCATGACTCTTCTGGGAAACCGAACACATTAATCCCTTATGTCAAGCTGCTCTTCATAAGAGCATAAGACAAGCCAATGTGGGATCAGGCCAACGGCCCATCCAGTCCAACACTCTGTCACACAGTGGCCAGAAATACCAGGTGCCATCAGGAGGTCCAGCAGTGGGGCCAGGACACTAGAAGCCCTCCCACTGTTGCCCCTTCCCCCCCAAGCACCAAGAATACAGAGCATCACTTGCCCCAGACCGAGAGTTCCTATCTATGCCTTGTGGCTAATAGCCACTGATGGACCTCTGCTCTTCATCAGAGACCATCTTTATTGCCCCTCCAAACATTCATGTAATTGTGTGCATGATTAGAGAATCTTATCACATTACAGCTTGAGGTGGGGCGCTATGTCAGTCTGCGGTAGGAGAGCAAGCTTCAAGTCCAGTAGCTCCTTAAAGCCTAACAAGTGTTCCAGGGTATAAGCTTTCGACTGTCGAAGCTCCCTTCATCGGCAGACTTTGTTGGCCTTTGAGGCTTTAAGACTCGAATCTCACTTATCGCATTTACACATCTCCATTTTCCATTCATTTTTATTGCTCACAGACCCATGTCATAAGCAAACAGGATATAATACAAAATACATACATACAGTACATTTATACCTCTAAGCAGAACTCCAAGGATGCAGGTGAGCCAGAGGCTAAAAAACTGTGAGCTAGCTCAGACTAACTCAACTTAGGGGGAACACTGGCCATTATTACATTACTATAAAGCAGATCATTGCCTGTGTGTTCTCATCCAGCAATGGGAACCTGTAATAGGGTTGCCAGCCTTCAGGTGGGGCCTGGGGATCTCCTGCTTTTACAGCTGATCTCCAGCTCACAGAGATCAGCTCCCATGGAGAAAAATGGCTGCTTTGAACGTTGGAGTCTATGGCATTGTGCCATGTCGAGGCCCCTCCCCTCCCCAAACCCCGCCCTCTCCTGGATCCACCCCCAAAGTCTCAGGTATTTTCTAACCCAGACCTGGCAACCCTAACCTGCAAGCACTTGCATCAATCTATCTAGCTCTTGTCTTCCTCAGAATGGCACACAAAGTTCTCTCTTCCTCACGAAAACCACGTGGTGGAAATCAGACTAAACAAAACCGACCAGTCCAAGATCATCTAGAGAACCGTGGCAGAGGGATCGCAGATCTTAGTGCACCACCGTAACCATTTACTCCCCCGCAGGCAAGCTGAGCGAAGTTTGAGGTTGGACAAACCCATCTCATTAACCACACTCAGGAGTTCAACACTGCTACCCCCCCTTTCCTTCAACGTCTCTCTTTCCACAGTCACTTCACCCCCTTACTCTTCCAGGCACAATCCTGCCTCCTGAGATCGCCAACCTCCAGAGGGGAACCTGGAGATTTCCCAGAATCCCAGCTGATCTCCAGCTGAGGCAGGTCAATTCCCCTGGAGAAAAGGACTGTCTGGGAGGATTTTTGTGCACATTGAAGAAAGAAAATAGATAATTACTAAAACGGACTCACTAACCCTTGAATTCACTGACTTAAACGAAACGCTTTTTTTATTTTTATGACTAACTGAATACTAACTGTTAATGACCTTCCTTTCTTGGGGTTTTAGTCATAGTGTGGGGTTTTTTATTACTTTCTGTCTTATTCCCTGGGTTTTTTTTTGTTTTTTTCCCCTTTCCTTTTCTATTTTCTGTAGTTTTGTAGGTGTAACAAAAGCAATAAAGATACCCTGTCTTCAGGGGATTTAAAAAAAAAAAAAAGGAGAGGCCAATTTTAATGCACCAGACTTATGATGAGGGGCACCATTTTATTTTATTTTCTAGT